AGACCTGGAAAGCTCGCGAATTAGCAAAGGATTTACCTTACGACAAAAGTCAAAAGTATCATTATATTTTGGATTTATATACACACAAAATATGTACAGTAATAAATTTTTGTATTGTTAGTGTAATTTAACTTGTTATAATATAGTATTACTTACATATTATTTATTTTAAGCTCCAAGTAGAGTTACTTGTAATTACCTTCTAAATGATCCGCGTGTAAATGTTGTTTACACTGTTAGTACATGAAATAATTCTCACTTCTGATATCTTCAGGTCTTGTCACCAAAAACCTTCCCCGATTGACAAAATGTTGTTCGCTTCTTCTCCATCAAGCACGAAAGTTTAAGGATAACTGTAGGTCGGTGGCTACCTAAGGAAACTCCGATTCGATCCGCCCCGGCTGGAAGGTTTCATGCATTTTAATATGGTGTGGCAAGTTACTCGACTTATTCTATAAGTTACTAATTCCATTTATTAGGTGATACAATAGAATTTCTTTTTGTAGTGACAGTGTATAAAATTTAACCTAAACCCATGCATGAACAAAAGATTTAACTTCAATCTTAAATAAAGTGACACGACGAAAATAAATAGTATATTAATATTTGCATGTGAAGCAACAAAAGGAACAATGCGCTTCCCCGTCAATACATTGACTAGTAATTCAAAATTAAACATGTGACTAGTTTCTTACGTTACGTTTTCCCCTGGTTTAATTCCCCACCCAATGATCTACCATTCCGTGATATCACCGGTACTCTGCCGGAGTTTTCACGCAAAACAACGATCAAATCCACAAACGCACTAAGTATATATTTGTACGATTTCTTATCGTTCAAATTAAAATAACAAAACAATAGCTCTTCCATAAATTCCCAATTGATTTTACCTTGATCATTCAGCCTCGCCTCCATCATCTCTTGCATCGATTGCCTGAAATCATCGTACGGACTTGGAGAATATGTTACGACTGTAATAAAATCATTTGCACTCAGTGTTTCCTTTGATCCATCAGAGGTACTAATTGCCAATGAATCATTTGAAGTAGTATTTGTCGTAGCTGAGGTTGATCCAGTGTCGTCTGAAACTGTCACGCTTGTCCGAGCTTCTTCAATTAGGGAACTTGACGAACCACGTGCCACAAAAAACCGACGAGACCCGCTAATATTTGATGGCGGTATGACATATCTGTTGAAAATATAATTAAGTAATTAAAAATGTATTTTCTCTGATGGTTTACATTTTTAGATTAGATTGTCACACCGTTGAAGAAGGTACAAATTAAAGTAGGTCATTCAAATTTCACTGTCACTTATTACGAATCGAAGGGAATAGTAAAAGCTTTTAGATGCAAATGTATATACCTTGGGGACTCGAACAAAGAATTTGAAGCTCCTGCATTTTCTTCTTTCTTTGGAGCAATATTATCTTCTTTCTTGCCTTTCTTCACGATGTTGTTGTTGTTGTTATTTGGTTTATTACTAGTATTGACTTCGACTTCACTATCATCATCTTTAGAATAAAAGGATTTGAAGTTCTCAAAGAGGAAACGATCTATATCTGCAAGTGTAGCAGCGTCATCTTTGCCTTGTGCTTGCTTTTCTTTGCGATGAACGGCCGAGAACGACGGCGTTTTGGGGTGTCTACACCCACGGAGCAACCAGCTAGTAGAAGATGAGAGAGTCTTATTGACGGAAGAATTAGGAGGTTGTGGGGAGGGTTTATGTTTGATCTTTGAGAGGTAATCTGAAAGAGATTTTTGAAGTTGCTTAGGCATTATGTTGATGTCTTTGTTTTTGCACTTTCTCTGCTTTGTGTGTAACTTAATAGAAGCAGGATTTGGTGTACTTTTATTTTTACAAGATAAATAAATTAATAGGTGAGTGCTGAAATCAATGGCTTGTCTCAAAAAAAGAAGAAGAATGAATAAATAAATAAATGCCAAAGATGAAACGGTTTAAACATAATTAATTGATCAGTTTAATGAAGTGATTAATGGATGGTTATTAATTGCGAAGAAACGTACTAAGCTTTTGTCTTTGCTTATTTTTTAATTTAGAAGTGCATTAAATCGCAATTTTCTATTTTATTTTGTTTTGTTTAGTCCTACTATTTGACAAATAGCCCGAGATTCTCTTGAAGCTGAAAGTTTGAAACAAAGCAGAGTAATTTGTAAAGTATAGTTGGAATTGTTAAGGGTGTGTGCATTTTTTTCTTTCTAAATTTTAGCTAATGAAATACAAATACTCAAATGTAATATAGTATGATTAGAAGTAATTATAAAGAGGGAAAAATAGATAGGTACAAGTAAAATTAGCTTTCACTTGATTTGTACCCCTTACCTCAAAGACCTTAAGAGTTTCTATTTTGCAACTTAAGCGAAACTTCCTTGGCATTTATGTACGTAGTAATTAACTAACAGGGACGAAAGAATCTTTGCTACACAGCATGTTGCAACATTAATTTAATTTGACTTCTTCTTTTGTCATTTACATTAATTAATAAATCAGCGTTAATTAGTTGCCGATCATGAATATAGTGGAATATAAACTATAAAATTATTAAAATTACAAATGTAAAAGTTAGACCCATTGGTTATCCATTTTCTAAATGGATAATTGATTCTTATCCATATTTGATCCGTTTTTAAAAAGTTCATTATCCAACCCATTTTTTAATGAATAATATGGATGATTAATTGTTTTCTTTTAACTATTTTGCCACTATTAATTAGTAGTATGGTAATATTTGGATGATGCACAAAAACTAATTTGGTCAAAGAACATTCAGAGAAAGACTATTAAGCGCGAGAGAGAAATGTGAATTGCTTAACGCTGTACTTTGATTTTAGAAATGAGATTTTTACCTATCTATACCATATATCAAATCTTATTACCAAAAATGTTCATTATTTGTTATTTACCCGTGTAGTCCACACTTTTACTACAAATTATATACCAATCCAAAAATAGGTAGATTTTGCCATTAAAAAAGCCCTAAAATGAAGGCACCAGATCTGATGTGATTCTGTTAACGATTTTATTCGAATTTTGAAACTGAAGGAGATCTCTCTTCCTGATGAAGGCACCAGTTGCGTAATTCTCTCCTTCCTCAACAGAAAGAGATCTCTGTTGATATCAGCTACAACAAAAAACGCAATCAAATTGTACAATTACTGAAGAGAGACTATATCTGTTCTTCGTCTCAAATTGTACAAAATTGCTCTTCGTCGATATCAGTATTCAAATTGTAGAAACTATATCTGTTCTTCGTCTTTTTTCCTATCAACTACACGAAATCATGTCAAAAATCCCAATAATGCTGAAATCGAATGGTAATTGGGATAACTATGGCAGATTTAGAGATTTTGAAGTTGATGCCATTGTGGTAGATGATAATGCAAGCTACGAAATTCTCAGTTCTACAATTGCAGAACAATTATCGATTGATACATCAGATAAATTATAGAAATCAAATACATTGTGAACGAGAATTGTCCTCCAATGGAGATTAGGAATGATATGGGGGTTCGTGCTTACATGGAAACCAAAAAGGAGAATAAAAACTTAGGTTCGTATCCTTTATGTATAAGCGTAAGAGATTTCAATATGGAATTGGCAATCAACAATGAAAGCACCAGTGCAGGTATGTTTGATTCGACATTGCAGAGAGTTATGGTGTTACTATGTTATCTACAATATTACTACAATTACCTACAATTAAACTACAAAGCTCACATAGTACTGAAAAGGATAAAGCAATGTTGCTTTCAAAATTATCTACATAGAAACTACATTTATGAATTTATTGTTTGCAGGTTCGTCTGGATCCCTAAACTTACTTGAATTTC